CAAATATACCCCAGCGACTTAAGACTGCTTTTGTGCTCCAGGGTCACAATTTAGAAAAAAATCTAATGGATTTCATAGGGCCCTAAAAATGTTATTTTTGTTAAACTTTTAATAAATTATAATTAAATTGTATTAGTTTCATGATTTAGGCAGCTAATTAGACATGCTTTTTGATTACTATAATTTAGTAGAAATTCGTGCAGAAAAACTAAAACTGAAAAAAATCCAGAGAAAATGATTAGAGAAAAATAAAAAACAGAATTTGGGTGAAAGAAATCATTTCATAGGGCACTACACACATGCAAAATAAAGTCCTTAAAAATGGTTCGCCTTTAATGAACACAGCTTTTTTTTGTGCACACAGGCGCTCAATTTTCAGGGACGGCTGAAATATCTTCACAGACAAGACCGGACCACAGAGGGCAAAGAGCTCGCCCTGTTTGCCACCGCCACCCCCGTTCAGCCCCCTGCTCTCCTAGAAATCAGGACCAACACCCTCTTTTTCCAGACCAAACACAAACTGGATTTTACACCAGTGGGTGTGGACACCAGGTGAGGATCTGCACTGACTTCATTATGGAGGGTATGTGTCACTGTTAACTGTTTGTTTGTGTTTCTTCCAGGGGGAAGGTGGTTCTGGGTTACACTGAGCAGGAGCTGTGCATGAGAGGATCTGGATATCAGTTCATCCATGCTGCTGACATGATGTACTGCGCTGACAAACACTTACGCAGTAAGATTTCACTCGCATTCTAGCGCACCGTTGTTCTGAACTCATGTACTTGGATGTTCTGAGGTTCGTGTCTCTGTGTTACAGTGATGAAAACAGGAGAGAGCGGTTTCTCCATCTTCAGGCTCTTGAGTAAGACCGGCGTGTGGATCTGGGTCCAGGCCAACGCTAGAATGGTGCTCAAGGCAGGCAAACCCGACTTCATCATCTGCCATCAGAAACCCTTGACGTGAGTGCTCTTCACTTCCTCTGACACTCACAGCTGCCCACTTCCTGCTGTATTTCTATATTTTACATAGATCTGTTTTTTGGTCAATTTAACAGTTAAACGTTTCTTTTTTTTGCTGGTTATATAAGCTTTTTTATCAAAATATGAAACCATTTTTTTTTTTAATCATTTCTAACATTTTTTATGTTTTTATTCCTGATTTTACTTTAAACATTTAAAAGCAGGCTTTAGACTTTATAGACCATAGTATCAGCCATCATATTGATTATCAGCCATAACAAAAATAATTATCAGCTATCAGTACAGGCTATATTTAACCCCAAAATTAAACAGAATCATTATTATAATGCAAAATAAATAAATAAATAAATATTATGTGTTTACATTATGGTAGTGATATATAAATTATATGATATAAATGATATTATATATA